AATTAATTTATGCGAAGAGGAACTGAGGAAGACGAAGAGGAACTAAAGTGTCAAACATTTCACAAATTCACCATTCAGAATTTCATTGAACAATTCACAAAATCACAACAATATATAACAAAATTAACAATTAACAATAATCAGTACTCAGTAGGCGTCTAGGCAGCGTCTAGGGCCACTGGGCGTCTAGCGATTAGCGAAGCAATCAAGCAATTATCAAGACAATCAAGTTATCAAGTTATCAACAATTAAACAAATTTAGATGAAGACTAACTGAGGAAGACGAAGAGGAAGACTAACCTCACCTGAATTTATGCGAAGAGGAAGACGAAGGGTCGAAGGCACGAACTGCGAGTCTGCGAAGAGGAACTGACTAACTGAGGAGTGAGGAAGATGCTTACTTGCGAAGTTGCGAGTTGCGAACTGCGAAGAGGAGGACTGGAGGAGGCGATTATGGAGGTGAATAGGTGATTGATGATGGCGAAGGATTGAAGCCTTGAAGGGAATTAGGGAAGAGGCGAATTGGCTAGGGCATGAAGGATTGAAGGCCATGAACTGAAATACTGAATTCGTGAATTTGGGAAAACTGATTTTTTTTTTTTTTTTTTTTTTTTTTTTAAATTAACTTAAAATTTTTTTTTGGGCCTGGTGAGTCACTTGACCCACCAGGTCTAAGCCCAAGTCCGCCACTGTCCCGGGGGTCCCTGTATGCATGTCTCCTCAAAATCTTCTTGGAAGTCAAGTTATCTTTCCATTTCAAAAATCGACACCTTGGGTCTCTTGCGTGGAGATGCTTTCAAGAAAGGTCCATATTGGTATACTGTGACTTGATTCTCATCTCCTTCTCTGCTAAGGTGTTGGCAGTCTCTGTCAGTGTGTCCAAGTCGTCCACAGAAGAAACAAAAATCCCCCAGCCTCTCGTATTTAATGTCCAAGTCAACCTTAATTCTCATGAATTCACTCCATCCCAGAGGGTATGCCTCATCGAGGTTCTCACCTATTTCGAGAGCAAAGGTACGGTTCATTCTATTGAAGGGAACATCCATGAGATGTATCCAGACAGGGGAGCGAGTAAAAGAAATTTCACAAAGTTATTTATCACCTTCCATCTCTTTCAATAGCAAAAATTGGTGTATATGGAGTTACAAATATTTGACAGATGAACGAGATTTGATGTCAAGTCTTGATTACCAACTTTGCATGACTTTACAATTGCTTAATAATACGTATGAAAATACATAGTAGTGAATTATGTGTTTCATGTTTGAATTGAAGAAATCTGGATTAGCCAAACCGACTTAAAACAAATATGTCTAAAATATATATTTGCATGTATATCTATACTATATATCTATACTATATATTAAAAGGCGTTCATAAAATTGTTTATGTGCCACATGTACCCCTTCTTGCACCAATATTACGCCATGTCATCATTCAACAACCTCTACCATTATGCCACATCATCATTCAATGATCCAAATTAAAAATGCATGCAAAGAGATTCAAACTCAAAGCTCTTTAAATGAAAAACACATGTATTAACATTTTAGCTAGAATTAAATTATAATATATTAGTCTACCTTTATGTATAAATACATACAGAACAAGTATTATAATGTAGAATAAAAACAAAAACAAATAAAAATCCAATATGAGTTATTTTTGTCATTGTATTCTAATTTACCACGTAAAAAAACTTATTAAGCCTTTTAAAGTGTCTAACATAAAAATAAAACTAGATGTAAGCCCGTGCGATGCACAGTTTTTAATTATTTCATTTTTTATATTTTTTTTTTTTGTAATTTCTTAATATTTTTTGTTTTTATTTTCTATTCTATTATTTTAACATTAATTTCAGGTAAAATATTTTGTTAAGTTTTAAATTATTCTTATTCAAATTTTATGTATATAGAAATTGAATTTATAAATTGAAATAAATATTATCTCATTCATCGGATAGTTAGATAAAATCATTAAATTAAAATATATTTTTTATTTTCTAATTATTTGTTAAAATAATATAAATCCTAATGTAAAAGATAATATAAAAGATAATTTTTTGTTTTTTTTTCATAATTTAAATCTTAAATTACTATTTTTTGTTTTCAATTCTCAAATTTCATTTGTTAAATTTTTCTTAAATGGCGACTGAAAATTAAAATTCTAAATTAATATATAAATCTAATTTTTCATTGATCGATATTACTTTTGCTTATGTGGCTTGCGATGCACGAATTTTTATATACATTTTGTATATAAATATTTTTTTGGTGATCTCTTAATTTTTTTTCTTGCATTATAAGTTTTAAAATTTTGTATGAAAGTATCATATCATCAGATATTTACATAAAACCATTAACATCAAATGATAATTTATATTTTTTAAATATCAAAATATAATTTTTAGTTTTTTAAATAATATAAATACTAATATCTAAAGATAATTTTTAGTTTTGTAACAAATAAAAATGATAAAATTTAGTGTTCTTAAATAATTAAAATCCTAATAAATTTCTATTCGTCATTTTTACCTACGTGGAAAAATTTTAAAATTTCATTCGTCACTTTTGTTTAGGTGGCGAGTGATTTTTTTAATTCTAAAATAAAATAGAAATCTAATTTTTAATTGGTCGAAAATGTACCTTTTCTTATGTGGCACTCCCAATGCTCTCCAAAAATGCCTACTTTATTTTTATATATATATATATTAGATTATTCAAAGTATCTCTTGGGGCAAAGCCCGGGCCACACACTTTTTACATAATAAGCTGATTGTATAAATGAGCTTTAACTTCACTTGACTTGTTTTGATTATTAGTCTATTACAACCCAAACTTTTTTTTAGGAATTTATAACCCAAACTTGAATCAAATGACTTATTAAAAAAAAAAAAAAAAGATTGAAGCTATTGTGTTCTCTATGGATTAATCTAGTTAAGATTCAAACTAGTTGTATCTCATAAAACCATGTTTACCTTATTGCATACTCCATTTATTACTTAATTTTACTAGAATTAGACTAGATTAGCTTGAAAAATTCAAAAATAATTAATTCTTATCTTGTTGAATGTGAACGCGGTGTTTTCTAATTTTTCCAATCAGCGTTTAAACCCCAACGGTCAGAATTCCAACCGACCAAAAACAGTCCCTCCTTTACCCTTTGACCCTCAAAATGGCAGTAACTTATTTTCTAATTTTTCCTTTAATATAATTAATCATCCGTGTTTTATTAATCAATTCTTATTCCGGCCATTTTGAGGGTACCGAAAGGGTAAAGGAGAGGTCGTTTTTAGCCAGTTGAAATTCCGATCGTTGGGGTTTAAAAGCTGATTTATGGTGGTTGGGGTTAGGGTTGTATAGAGTGCGGTTTAGACCGCACCAAACAACAATTTTGCGGTTTGGTGCGGTTTGCGGTTTGAATATTGTGGTGCGGTTTTTGAAAATTGTCAAACCGCGGTTTGCGGTTTGGTGCGGTTTCCAAAAAAATTTAGACCAAACCACACTTTAATATAGTTTGCGGTTTTTATACTACATTTTATTAAAAAAAATATATAAAAGAACTAAAATATATGAGCTAATCTTTGATTATTAGTTAATTAAAGGTTTACAAAAATTGTTTAATATTTGAATTATAAACTAATAGTTATAAAATAAAATAAATATTTTGTTTTAAAAAGAATAATTATAATTTTAATAAAATACGGTTAAACCGCAAACCGCACCGCACCAAACCGCATTTTGTGGTGCGGTTTGGTGCGGTTTTTTTAAAAGTGCGGTTTGGTGCGGTTTAGAATCCAAACCGCACCGCGAACACCCCTTACTGGGGTGTTTTGAGGTTGGGTTAGGTGGGTTTTCGGTGGCTGGGGTGTTATCAAGGTCAGCTCCGGTAGGTTTTTTTTTGTGGATGAGGGTAGGGCTGAGCAAAACTACCCGAAAAATCGAAAACCCGTTCCGTTAACGTTCCGAAAATTAGGGTACCCGATCCGATAACCATAACGGTTCGGGTACCCGTTCCGATAATTTGTTATCGGGTATGGTTTTTGGGTATCATTTTAAAATCAACGGGTACCCGTTCCGTTCCGATAAGCAATTATTTTATTTTTTTTTCCTACTTAAATCTATCTTTTCAATATTTAAACTCTTACATTACTTCATAATCACTATAATATCAATAATTAGTAATGTTATTAATAATTTGGTCAAGATCACGTGGTATTGTTGTTAATTAGTGTTAAAAATATCATAATAACTAATTTTTTAAGTTTAATTATCACTATTGGATACTTTATAGGGTACCCGATAACCGTTCCGAAAATTTGGGTACCCGAAGTCCGGGTACCCGAACTTATCGATTCGGGTTATGGATATCAATTTAAATGATATTGGTTATCGGGTATCCGAACCGTTAATACTAACGGTACGGGTACCCGTCCCATGCTCACCCCTAGATGAGGGTGTCGCAGAAGGGGATGTGATGGGGAGAGGGTTTGCTGACGCTAGTGGCATGGCTGGCGGTAAAGGGGGTGGTTAGGGTTTAGGTTTTTTTTTTTTTTTTAAATTTTTTTCTTTTTTTTAAATCAATTGATGAGTGACACGTGTTATTGGCGAGTCTCATTAATGGATTCCATCTAAAAGTCTGTTAGATGGTGGTGAAATTAAATTTTAGATTCTTTGTGATATTATAATAAAAATTTGAGAATGTGTGGTGTTATAATCTATTTTTTTTTGTAAAATTTGTGGTGTTATTTTCTAAATTTTCCTTAACCAAATGTAAATAATTAATCAAAATAAAGTGAAAAATAAAGAAAATAATAATCCGTAACTATTATCTTTCTAATGTAAAAAGATACACAATGTTAATGGTTAATAACCAAAAGCGGTTATTCGGTTAATGGTATTCTTATCAGGCTAGGCGGCTATCCGTATCTTATCGGAGTTAAGGAATGTGGGCGGTACGGGGTAATTGGGTATAGTCGGACATTAGCAAATATTCTCATACTCCGTAACAAACATTACCACATTACACACACACTCTAATTCTATTCTGTTCTGAGTCTTTCTTTCATTTCAGCAATCAATATTGAACATTCCACCCCACCTGCTTTTCCCCTTCACTTTACTCTCTTTCTCCCTCCTCTCTTTAATCACTCAATTCCTTTCTTAATTACAAACTTTGCCTTTTATTCTCTCCCCTTTTTTCTTCTTTCTACACTTGATTCTCCTATTATCCCCCTTTCACAAAAATCATAAATTAAAAAAAAAAAAAACCAATTGAATTTAAATTTAATTAAATAAAAAAAATGGAAAAGTACGAGGTAATGCAGCAATTGGGTGCTGGGAATTTTGGAGTTGCTAGATTAATGCGTCATAAAGAAACTAAAGAACTTGTTGCCATGAAATTCATCGAGCGTGGTCAAAAGGTTTTTTTTTTTTTAAAAAAAATTTTATTTTTTCCTTTTTTTTTGGTGAATTTTTTGAAAATTTGAATTTTAATTCTGGGTTTAATTCAGAAAAGAAATCATGAAAATACCCAGTTGGTAATTTATTAAAATTTTGCATTTTTAATTATTTTTTTGCAGATTGATGAGAGTGTGGCAAGAGAAATCATCAACCACAGGTCGCTTCGTCACCCTAACATTATTCAATTTAAGGAGGTAATTTTGGGGTTTAATTGTTCAATATTATTGTTATATAGAGGCAGTGATGTAGATGGGATTTGATCCGAGATCTTATTTATCAAACTATTGTAACTACTAACTAGTATGGAGTATTGATGATAATATAGAGGATAAAAGTTAGTAATTTGAATGTGAATTTTAATGATTTTTAGGTGGTTTTGACACCAACTCATCTGGGAATTGTGATGGAATATGCCGCCGGTGGTGAGCTTTTTGATCGGATTTGCACTGCGGGTCGTTTTAGTGAGGATGAGGTAGTATATCAAATGTTTTTTTTCATTTACCTTTTGATTTAGGTTCATGCCTTTTCAATTTTTATTCTTTTTTATATTTGGGTTTGTTTAAATTGTATATGAGTTGATTTGTAGTGAGTAGTTTATGTTACAATTAACTAATTACTAGGGGTTTTAAATTTTTTGTACTAATTTAGTAATTTGCATTCTTATTTGGGATTATTGTAACAATTGATAATTCAGTAGCACGTTGTCTAATAAAAAAAAAATCACTGTATTTTTAGTAATCATTCCCACCCTAAGTTTAATCCATGAAACTGTAATCAATCACGCTTTGTTCGCTCTTAGTGTTTCGGTCTCCCAGGACTTTTACATCTACCTTGAGTAGGGCTTTGATGCCTTAAATTCTCCTAATCTAAGTAATCAAACAATAATTCCTATTTAATCCCATTGCTTCTAACACACTATAAAATTTACAAAGGATATATACGTAGTATATTTTTTTTAATCAAAAGGTTATGCATCATTTATTTGTGTAGTAAGTGACGACACCTGCAATTAATATGAAAGCATAATATCGAACATGCCCAACTTACAACTTGCATCATCGATAGAAGGCAAACACGTAAGTATTCAGTATGCCTAGTAATAACATAAAAAACTCTTGCCTATGTGCAAATAAATTAAATCCAAGACCCAAGTGTGTCAAATTTTAAAGTGATAGCTTCTTCATTGGGTGTCTTTGATTCTACATCATCTCCCTCTTCAAAATAATTTGTCGAACATTACATTTAAAAGTAAGTTCATGACATTAAAGTTAACGCTCATGCCTCCAACATCACTAGGTAGCTCAATCTTGTATGCACTATCTCCATATCTCCAATGACTATCAGCTTGACGTTAAGTTCTTTCTCTATCAGGGGAAATGTTCCTTCCTCAAATCTATTGAAACTAAATCTCTAGCTTGAGAGAATGTCTCCTTTTCCGAGCTTTCACTTTCGCACAAGTTTTCTTTAGAAGATTCAAGTTTCTTCTTTGATGCTATATGTTCAATCTCACTTTTGAAAAGGAGTCGATTTCACCGGAAGAAATGGATTAATGCCATACACCACCTCAAAATGAAGAACGATATGTAATAGTAGACTGAAATCTCTTGTAAGCGAACTAATCTTTTTGCTGATTAGTGACCTTGGACCTAGATGGTGGGAAGTTCTAAACAATTTAGTACCTACAAACTTCCATAAAGTTTGCCGCACGTGACTAAGAAACTTATTGTTAAAATCAGAGAGAGTACTCCTATGAATGACATGTAACTTCACTATCTAATTACAATAGAGATCAATAACATAAGAAACATATCTGTTTTATGGCAAATAAAGTGTGCCATCTTAAAGAATTAACAACAACCATAAGGATACCCTTACCACATTGAGTTCTGAGGAAGTCTAACTTTAAAATCCATGCTCGCACTTTCCTAGGAACTAGAAGTGGAGTGTAAGGGCCCTTAGAAGTACTCCTCGCTCCAAAATTACTCGCCAATACACTACCATGCACCTCTTAAATAAGTAATTCTTGCACGCAATAATGAGGAATGCACAACCTATTACCCTTAAACAAAAAACCATCTTGCACAATATATAATTGAGTAGGGTTTTCAAGTTAGTGCGAATTCAGGATCAATTGTATATTGTGACTTCAAAGTAAATGAATCATTCGTGAAGGAGCATCAAAACCAACATTGCTCTTCCAATCCTTATATCTAAACTGAAGGTAAATAATTCTAAGAACTCTGTAAGAACTGCACGAGCTTTAGCATTAGGACACTCCCTTGTTGTATGTCGTGACACTTTAAGCATATCTGTTTTTGCTGCTACTTTTCTCTAATGATCACCTTCTTGTTTTTATAGTCTTCTTAGGATCCTTGTTGTATCCATTTGTAAAAGACTTGTGGTTACATGACGATGGACTAGGTTTGACAATCGTGAGATCCACTTTTGTAGTTGGTTGTATTACTTTTATAACTACTGGAGGGTGTTCTCGAGATCAACTTTGTTGGAGATCTTTTTTGACAACCCTTTTAATTAGCCCACAATCTTTAAAGTCCCACTTTCTTGAATATCACACTATATAAATTATCTTGTGTAATGTGTATTCATCTTCCTGCATAAGAGGGTTAGTTTAATGTATAGTTCCTGCTCATATTCTTGGGATTGTTTTTTCTTTAAATTTTTCCCATGTATAGATTTCCCACTTCTTTGAGGTTTCATGTTATCTAACCATATAGAAGCATATCTAGTCATTTTTAGAATAGCAATCTTGTATTGCTTTTGCTCATCATATTCTTTGTTATTTAATACCCTTTTCATTCCATTAATTCATTCAAGATAAATGTTAGAATAACTATCACCATTAACGACAAATTTTGGCTAGTACTGTTAGTTTAGTTTAAAACCGCTATTTTTCGACTAGGCTGACTATAAAAAGAAACATTATCATCATTTTTTTTTTTTTTTTTTTTTTTTTTTTTTTTTTTTACAAAAAAAATTCATGATCACGAATTCACGATACCTCGTATTAAGTATGCTATCAACCGTGATGTGTATCATTCATTCGAATGTAACCGTTAAAGGTAATAAGGTTATTTGACTATTTTATCAAATCATCTTGATAATTACGATTTCTTCTTATTAAGTATGTTTAGATCAAACTTCAGTTCTAAATATTCCATTAGGGTTTTGATTCCATACTCTTAACCTAAGCAATCAGGCTATAATCCTAATTCAATCCTGAATTAAATTTAGAGGCTTCAATGTTACTTCTAACCCTCGATTTAAATTCACTAAGATGTTTTTAAATAAGTTTTTTTATATTTTTTATATCAACTCTCTAATCCTAAATTGTGGATAGAAATCTTTTATTTATACAAATAGTTAATGATAAAATTGTAATGAATAGGAATATCTAATAATCTCTGTTGGACTTATAACAAGCCCAATTTACACCCTACTCAATTTTAAACTCCCACTTTAAGGGTAATGGTAAAACTACGAGTTTATTAATTGATACAACAAGTTAAAATTGATAACTAAAAAGGCAAAATTGTGCAATTCTTGCTTAGATGCATACAAATAAATAGCTTCTTCAAAGTGTGCCTTTGATTCTACATCATATTATGTACTTGTTGTCGTTAGGCTACGTTTAGCATTCTCTTATTGTTAATGAGATTTGTGTTTGAATTTCTTTCCAGGCAAGATATTTCTTCCAGCAACTGATCTCAGGTGTTAGCTTCTGCCATTCCATGGTACAGTACCATATCCTTGCTATCTAAGTTTTTGATGAATATTTTTATTAATTTAATGCCAGAGCTTAACTGAAATGTTTTTATTTTCCAGCAAATTTGTCATCGAGATTTGAAACTGGAAAACACTTTATTAGATGGAAATCCAGCTCCCCGCCTAAAGATATGTGACTTTGGTTATTCCAAGGTTCGAATGATTCTTACCATATTTATATTTTCTGTGAAGCCATGACATGTGTATTTTTGATGGCATTGCATGTTTATTTGACTTTTTAGTTTATAATTTAAGTACTTTAATTAGTCAGTTTACTGATGTGTTTATTGTTGTAAATGAAACTTGCAGTCATCTCTTCTGCATTCAAGGCCTAAATCCACTGTAGGTACTCCAGCATACATAGCACCTGAAGTACTTTCAAGGCAAGAATATGATGGCAAGGTGAGTCTCCGTGGTTGCCTGGTTGGGTAAAACTATGTTTGATAATTTCATATGATGTAGAAATGTAGTGTGTTTTTCTTGTCAGATCTCTTGGTCAGCTTAACTGGTTGACCCATGATTAAGATAAAAGATTTGATAATTTGTGTTTCCTCCAATTCTGTATTATAGGTCATATTTGACTTTTTGGTTAGATTTGTTTGCTTAAAAACATTATGCTGATTGCATCCTAAACATTTTTAGCACTTTACCAATGTGTTCGTTCCTTAAATCTCTTTACCATTTTCTTTGCGAACTTCATTTACTACTTTATCCAACAATATTTACGCTTTTCTACCTTTGTCTTATAATGTACCTACCTACCTTTATACACTCCCTCTCTTACTTTATCCATTTTATTTCTTATACCCACTCATCACATCAACACCCTCGCTTATTGCCTAAAAATCCGTGAGAATAGTGAACGTCAAGAATGAATAGGAATGGAGGTATTAATTGTTTATTCATTTTATTATTTGAACCTCTATACATGTTATTATAGGGTTTTTGACTATTCACGTTCTTGGCCGTTATTGCAAATATCTGTCAGTCGTAGCAGCATTTTTTTTATATAGTCATTTTATTCCTCTATAAAACCATCGGAAACACAATGTTTTCGGGAAGCTTAAAACAACAGCCTCAATTTGACATTTCACACTAGAATTTGCCATTTAGATATTTTTTTTAAAAAAATGTCTATTAATAAAACATGTAATAATTATAAGACACCAAGTAATATAAAAAAACCTACAAAGGTACTTTTTCACTCCAACTAAGAAATTATAGCCATAAGCTTTGACTACCCAAGTCAAATGTAATTTATTATTTGAGATGAATTTAGGGCCTGTTCACTTCAGCTTAATTTCAGTTCAGCTCAGCTCCTATCAATTCAGTTCAGCTTTAATCAGTTTAGTTTCTAATTTCCTTCTCTCATAAAATATTCATTTCAGCTCAACTCAATTCAATTCAGCTCCAATAAGTTCAGTTCAGCTCTTAGTCCTTTTTTCTGGGGCTGTCTATGGTTCACATATTGGATTGTGCAGAAGTAATAAGGTTCTGTTCAAATATAACTCTAGGCAAGATTCAGGCAATTTACATGTCTTTTCTCAGTAGTCTCATCATCAAGCAGTGATTTATTTTACGCTTGATAATGGTCGAGATCTCTATATTACTTGTAGGTTATAGTTTTGTAATTTATTTCTTTAGGCCTGCTTTATTATATGGTACAAAATGTTGGGATGTGAAGCATTGTCATGCTCATAAGATGATATGGTAGAGATGTGTACACTGCATTCGATGTATAGTCGTACAAGAAAAGATTTATTGAGGGATGAGATAATTTGGAAGAGGATAGGGGTTACATGTATTGAGAATTAGATGAGGGAGAACCACCTAAGGTGATTTGGCCATGTAAGATGGAGATTGAGTGAGGCTCTTTGGTTAGGAGACTTGAAAAGTGGCAAATTGATGGGATTGTGAGGGGTTGGGAATGACCTAAGAAAACTTGAAGGAGGGTGATGAGAGTGATATGAGTGCTTTAGGGATAGAGGAAAATATGTTGGATAGGGAGGGTTGGAGGGAAAATACCTATACATGAGGACCTGCACATGGTGTAAAAATGCGGTTTCGGTCGCGATAGCGGGAACGGTCGCGGTGTTGCGGTATCGGAAATGATGCGTTGATCGCGGACCGGGTATCGGTCATCGCGGTAGAATTTTTGTTTTAGAGTTTTTTAAGTTTTATTTTAAAAAAAATAGTTTAAATACTAAATTGATTGTCATCTATTTCTTAAATTCGATTATTCGTATAATAACGTAACAATAGAAATGGAAAACTAAAAATAACGTCAGTAAAGTAGTGGAATTTAAAAATATAAAAAGAAAATTGAAATAAACTAAATCATCACGTGACTTCTTCCTTAGTGGGATTAAAAAGTCAAGAAATAAATAAGATGTAAATAAAAGGAACCACAATATGTGGACAGATGTCCTACCTAACTCCCCCTTCACCTACCCCACAATTTTAGCCTTTAATTTTGTCCCTCTTTCTCTCTCTTTGGAGTTTGCAACAACCTAACAATGGAGTCTAGCAGTTCGCATCCATGGAAGCTGCAATACATGTTCAATTAAGTGATTAAACTTGCGAAATCAAGCTATATCTCAGGCGATTCGGAGGTGATTCGGCCGTCTTGGCCAAAAATGCGGTGTTTTTTAATACCCCGTTACAAAACGCTAAATCTCGGTTTGGTAACTTCAAATTCCGTTACATATCGGGCGAAACGCGATGACACGGCCGAGTTTTTATACCATGGACCTGCATGAATTTAAGTACATATAACTTCTCCCTTTTTTTTTTTACGTGTGTGTGTGTGTTTGTTTGTACCTAAACATTGTGTTTTGCAAACTCTATTTCATTTTTTAAGGTTTTTTTAAAAACTTTTTTGGGGTTTTTACTCGCCGCTTTTGCTCCCTTATGATCTCCCCTTAGCCCCCCTTTATTAAACTCCCGAATCTTATTTTTATATCCTCCTTTTGGGTTTTCAGCTTTTCACATTACACTGCCCCTGTTTTTTTTGCTCATTATGTTCTTTCTCATTTTTCATCCGCTATCGTTGCATCACTTTAACACTTTTTCAATATTTTGGGCAGTTTCTCATGTCAATTCATGTTAGCTGACCCTAAATCATTTTAGGACAAAGTCTTTGTTGTTATTGTTGTTGTAGCCTCAACCTACATGTTTTTCTGGTGGCTAATGATTAAAAAAAAAAAAACTTTCTGTAGTCTGTGCCCATTCTTTTTATTTAACATTGTCTTTGCTGAAAATTTTAATGTAACTTTGTACTTCATCAGCCTATATTTCAAACTTTCTGACACTAGTGTTCATGTTCAGTTAGCTGATGTGTGGTCTTGTGGAGTGACCCTATATGTTATGCTGGTTGGAGCATATCCCTTTGAAGACCCTCAGGATCCAAAGAACTTCAGGAAGACAATTACAGTAATCTCTCTCTTTTCACTTCTCATAATGAGTTTGTAGTGGTTTTAATTGTATTTTTTTATTTCAGTTTTTAACTGTTTTATTGATAATATATTCTGCAGAGGATTATGGCTGTTCAATACAAAATTCCTGAATATGTTCACATATCACAAGATTGCAAGCATTTGCTTTCTCGAATTTTTACTACCAATCCAACCAGGGTATGTATGTTGCTAAAGTTTCCTCTATGTGTCTGTTCTTTGGTTGACAATGTTTCTTTTCTGGCTGCCATTAGCTGCTGAAATATATAAAGTGGTCTAAATACTGTTGCATTTAATTTTTATCTTTAATTTTATAAATCATGGTTGGTAGAACCCTAATGTGAATCTACATTGTCTAAGCATTACCTGATTTGTTCTTTACCAGTCTCCAAGACTCCATTCTCCATTACTTTTTTTTTGGCTCATTCCTTTATAAGTTGACTTTGGCAAATGGCATGTTGTGCTGTATCTTTTTTATAAATACTATAGCCTTTTATTGCCACCCATTTGCTTTCAACTTAAATTCCAAAATAAAGATACAAACTTTAGAAAAAAGCAAAAAAATTGGTGGGGTTGAGGTCATTCTCAATGACGAATGGTATCATAAAAAAAGGTTTCGGGTTATCAAGCTCAATTCACACCAAAAATAAGGTCAAATTGCTTTGACTAGGTCTACACGGTACCAAGTTCAACTCACAACTGTATCTCTTCACTTTAAAAAAAGTTTCAAATCATTACTAAAAATAAATTCAGTAAGGAGTATTTGGTTTTGAAGATAAAGCCTTGGAATTCTCATCATGGAGTGAGATGATCAGCATACAGTGTAACCTTTGTCTGCTCATCTTTATTTTTTCTCAACTTCTTCTCAGCCATAAGCTTTGAGTTTACATATCTTCCCTTAATAAGCACATTTACCCCCCCCCCCTCTCTCTCCTGGGGGGAATCTGTCTGATCCTATTTGAATATGTAACGTGTCAAATTAGTTAATGGTCTATTCTCTGCAAACAACACAATTTTGCCCATTGTTATGAGTAGTTGTTGACTTGCTTGTACTTGGTATCCTAGTTTTTCAGGATCTTTTCTGGTGTTTATGGAATAGTGTATAGAACTAATTGCTTCCTAAAGTGTTTTGCGTTTAGCTTTATACATGGTTTTTTGTTACATATATCGTCCTGCAAATGTTAGGTTAAGATGCTGAATTGATATACTATTTTGATGGCTAAATATTCCCTTTTTAAATGTCTTTGAAGACAAAAGATTGGTGTACCTTGAGTAGATAAGAAATGAATGCGAATTGAACTTCATTTATATTGATCTAATCTATGTACATGAAGTCATGAATCCAATGTTATGGATGGTTATTTGTCCAAATTATTGCAAATATGGGGTTATATAGACTAAAATTATTCTGTTTTATTAACATTCCCATGTTTCTGCAGAGAATTACCCTTAAGGAAATCAGAAGCCATCCATGGTTCCTAAAGAATCTTCCTAAGGAACTAACTCCACAAGCTCAAGCCGTCTACTACCAAAAAGATAACCCAAGCTTTGCTACACTGCAAAGCGTGGAAGAGATCATGAAAATTGTGGGGGAGGCAAGGAAACCTGCTCCTGCAGCAAGGCCTGTCCCAGGATGGGAGGATGAGAATGAAGACGATAATGATGAAGATGCAGAAGAAGTAGAAGAAGAGGATGAAGAGGATGAGTATGATAAAACCGTGAAACAAGTACATGCAAGTGGAGAGTTTGCTCTTAGTTAAGTTGGTGTTGTTGCCATTGTAGTCAATATGTTGCATAAATTTTATGGTTATCAAAGTGTGCATAGGTGTGGGCGTGTGGCATAATTAGTGCTCCGAAAATTTGAAAAAATTTAAGATGTTTGAGGCTTTAAGCCTGTGACTTGGTACTGTTAGTTTGTATAAAGGTTGGAGCACTAGAAAATGGCACCTTTTTTTTTTTTTTTTTAACCCCTTTTTATAATTGATGGATACTTGAAGTATGAAGTGTATCATATGTTTGATGTGGTCATGTTGACACTGTCAAATTGAAGTGTTACAAACTACACTTTGTAGTAAATTAGTTATACTATGGTTTTTTTTTTTTTTTCATTTGGTTGTATATTATTGACTTATTGTTAGTGGACCATCTGTCTTGCTTAGTATAGTGGTTATGAAAGCAAAGAACAAGAAGAAATAGAGGGAATACACTATTTATTCAGTACTTGTATATTTCTCTTATTGAAAACCTTTGAAAAGGTCTAGAATTAGACTTTGTTCTCTTACCTTAAAAAGTAATATCCAATTAAAATTTTAATTTAGTAAAAATAAGTTTAATAAAAATGATTTTTAGGAGTTTTTTGAAAATAACACCACATATTTTCAAAAAAAAATGGACTATAACACCATCTTTTTTAAATTTTTATTATAACACCACATAAAAATCCAAAAATTGAATTTCACCACCATCTAACAGTATCTTTGGATGGAATCTGTTAGTGGGACCCACTAAGCATACGTGTCATTCATTGATTGGATTTTTTTTTTGAAAAAAAAAAACCAATCCCTAACCTAGCTTCGATCCACCACCGGCAACCATGAACTACCGCCGACAACCCTGAAACCCTAACCCAGCCCCACCGTCGGCACCTCAAGCCACCGAAAAACCCACCGGAGCCAACTTCAAAACACCCCAGCCACCGAAAACCCACCTAACCCATCCTTGAAACACCTCAGCCACCGAAAAAAACCCCAGCCGCCGCTAGCAAGGAGTGGGGTCGCAAACTAGGGTGGGATCAGGGCGGGGGTCATCGCGCAGGTGGAGATTTGAGGGTTGTCGAAGCAGGCGGAGTTCGGTGGGTGCGATTTGGTTGTGTTTTGAGTGGTGGAGGTGGTTGCGCGGGCTAGTTTGGTGTTGTTGGAGATGTGAGGCTAGGTGGGGCTGGGATAGTTTTCGGGGAGCGTAAATGATGGAGTCGCCGGTTCCGGCTGGTTCCGACAGGAGATAAGGTGGTTCCGGCGGGAGGTTAGGGGATATCGGCGTTTTGGCTGGTGGTTCTGGTGGTGGGGCTGGGTTGGGTTAGAATATAGGGTTTTTTTTAATTAATTTTTTTAAAACAAATCGCTGAGTGATACGTGTCCACAGTGGACCCTACTAACGGATTCCATCCAAGAATCCGTTAGTTGGTGGTGAAACCAAATTTTTTTTGATTTTTTTTGTGGTGTTATAATCAAAATTTGAAAAAATTGTGGTGTTATAATCCATTTTTTGTAAAATTTGTGGTGTTATTTTCAAAAAAATCCTAATTTTTAATTAGTAAAAAACAATATCATGGAAAAAAAAGAAAAATAATATAGAATCAATAAAAAATCATTTCAGCCCTTTAAAATTAGTTTTTATTCCGTAAAAGTAATAATAGCTCAACATAATAATTTCACTTCAACAATAATATGCCGAGCAAAGTGCCACTTTGTTCATGTTCAAGCCATTTAACTTAGGCGAGTCTGAGCACGATCTCGAGCTTTCATGCGAGCTCAAAAATTTGTTCAAACTCAGTTCATTTAGTACACAACACTGTTCTCAAACTTTTGTTTAAGCCATTATTCGGACTCCAGTTCGGAATCCAATCCAGTCCAAATAAGCTATTCGGATTGGACTTTTGTTAGTTTGGATTGGATTTGGACTCAAAATTTTTGAAATTCAGATTTTTCGGATTGGATTTGGACTCTAATTTTTGAAGTCCAATCCAGTCCAAATAAATAAATAAATAATAATAATAATAATAATAAATAACAATAATAATAATAATAATAATAATAATAATAATAATAATAATAATAATAATAATAATAATAATAATAATAATAATAATAATAATAATAATAATAATAATAATAAGAAGAAGAAGAAGAAGAAGAAGAAGAAGAAGAAGAAGAAGAAGAAGAAGAAGAAGAAGAAGAAGAAGAAGAAGAAGAAGAAGAACAACAACAACAACAACAACAACAACAATAATTATAATAGTAATGATAAACAATAAGAACAACAATAAGAACAATAACAATAACAATAACAACAACAACAATAATAATAATAATAATAACAATAATTATAACAATAACAATAATAATAATATAAACCTCAACCCATATAACATTAGTAAGCCCAAAATCAATAGACCAAATCCGCCAAATTCCCTCATTACAATTTAAAGTTTTTTTGTTTATCGGAGTTATGATCTTATGAATTTCTTAGGATTTCTTTTTATTATTATTATTTCGGATTGGATCAGACTGGATTCGGACTATGAGATTTTAATTTGGATTGGATTTTGAAACTTTGGATTTTGGACTATAAAATGAGAGTCCAAATATATTTCGAATTGGATTAGACTAGGCTTCAGTTCAATCCAAAGTCCGAATGGACACCCCTAAATTTAATTATAAATGATGAGCTTCTCTCATAAATGAGTTTTGCACTTTTGAAATTTGAATTTTTCAAAATAGCATAATAATTACTCAATTGTGTAAGTCAATAATTTATAAAAAGTTAAAGAGCAATTTATATCAAAGCTATATTTCACATAAAAGCACTTTGCCTCTTCGAGATATCATATCTTATCAAATCAAATGAGTATCTTATGAACTTAAATAAACGAATAATTCATGAGAAATGATAAACGAGTAGCTCATGAATATCTTATGAACCCATATATATCAACGAGTTGTTCATGAACTTATATGAAAGAGTATATTTATGTTCGTGTACAAGCTCAATTATTAAATAAACAAACATGAATGAGCTTTAATCGAGTTTGAACTCGATTTGTTTACATAATCCCTAAGAACAGGGCCTTAAAATAACTTACATGTGAATTAACTAATTAAGACTACATGCTAATTAAACAAATCATTTGAACCATGCAATTTACGAGTTATACATAATTATTTGGTCCAGTTCACATGATTTAATCTAGTCTAATTTGATTTTTTTTTTTTTTTTTTTTTTTTTTTTTTTTTTTTTTTTTTTTTACCAAATCTGATTTTCAAATTGACCTTATTTGTATACTAATTCATAAAACGAAAACATATCAAAAGGGATATTACAAGATTTGATATGATCTTATCTAATTTAATCTAATATGATTATATTTGTAATAAGCTTATACCAAGTTGAATTGAGGCTACGTTTATTTCACCTTGTTTTTGCTTATTTGTTGAACTTATTTTTTAAAATCTTATTTAAACATATATATTTTTACATTTGATCTAATTTTCTGATTTGCTTAAACTTTGACCTTATATATACGCTAATAACCAAATGAACTCATTTCAACCCGACCTAATTTGATCTGTTACTCAAATACCCTTACCCATTTAAGCCTCGACCTAAAGACTCGAGCTGATATGAACCCAAATTGCATTAAATCGAGTAAACCCACTTACAATTTGAAAACTAGCCTACTAAACCAATTATGATTGGAATAACGAAATCTAAATAAAAACCATACTAAATTATCAAACTAAATCGAACTGAACTGAATTAATTCACCAATTGGTCTTACATGTATCCTTATGCACCTTGGATAGGTGCAACACTGGCCCAATAAAGAAGCCCAGTTGCAAAACTCACCCAAACGAAAACGTGACCCACTTCCCAACCGCCATATTTTGGATTTCAATTTATATATATTTTTTTAAAAACCATTTTACTTCTCTCTCATTAATTTTTCAAAAATTCCTGCAATTAATTTCTCTCTCCAAACTTCACTCTCTCCTCTACATGATTTTACTTCATTAAAAACTAAAAAATCAACAATGGATGTACAAGAAGAGATGCAAAATCAACAGGATTATCCCAAGAAAGGTAAATTTTCACTGATTTTTGTCCGAATTTATTGAATTTTTTTCTGAATTTTTCGAAACTTTGTTCTTCGAAATTTTCGATTAATTAGTGAAATTTTATGTTCATATTTTTTATGCATTCACTAAGGAAAATAGTTAATATGTTCATATTTTGAATGGTTATGTTCACTTTTTGAAATGCATGTGTTCATATATTTTATGTCTATGTTCACTATCTGAAAAGCATGCCTATGCTCATATATCAATTCTGAAATGCATGTGTTCATATATTTTATGCCTATGTTCACTTTCTAAAAAGATTATGTTCACTTTTAGGGAACCTAAGCATATGTTCATATTTTGCTTGATAATGTTCACTTTTATGAAATGCATATGTTCACATTTATTTTAAGAATGTGTTCACTTTCTTAAATACTTATGTTCATATTTTGAATGCTTATGTAAATTTTCTAGAATGCTTATGTAAACTTTCTAAAATGCTTTTGTAAACTTTTTTGAAATGTATATGTTCACGTTTTGAAATCTATATGTTTATATTTTTTTTATGTATATGTTCATCACCTTCTGAAATGCTTATGTTCATATGCATTCAAAAAATGAACCAATGCATATGTTCATATTTTTAATCGAAATTCATACACAGATCAAATTGATCGAAGCTAACAAAATGCAATTCATATTAATTCAAAAAATCTGATAAAACCTAATCAATCAAAATTAAGCACAAAATCACCACATAATAAATCGAAATTCATACATAAAAGTTATGAACAAAAAAAAATGAAGAACGAAAACTAAATTTAAAAAGCTAATTACAAATCAACAAAACAAAAAACTAATCTGCATTGACACTCTCTTCGGGAATAGCAACTAATTTCATGTCGTAAGAAATAAATTTAATCAAAAAAGTGAAAAATAATAATTAAAAAAAACAGAGGAGAGAGAAAATGAAGAACAAATTAAAGGAGAAAAACATTGGAGAAAATTATATTGAAAAATTTAATGATAATTTGTATCAAAATTATTATAAGAAAGAAAACAGAAGAGAGAGAATTTGGAAGAAGGAAACAAAAAAATTAAAAAAGGAAACAAAGATTGTGTTGATTGATTTGAATTTGGGCCGTGTTTAATGCAGAATGTCGTGCATTTAAGGGAGTTACACCTATTCTAAATGGATCCACTTATTATTATTACCGATTCAACCCATTAATAATTAAAACGACCCAATCCAATCCAGCAACCAAATAATCTCGATTCAACCCGAACCAAAACCGAACCGTGAACC